GCTTGCCAAATAAAGTTCGATGCGCGCCCCAGCGCGTCTTCCTCGATCCGTCTGCTTTCCCGACCCATTCGGCCTTCAGGGAGGCGGCAACTGCGGCAGCGTGGCGCGAACGGCGCAAGGCTGTCCACCGTTACCTTGACCTTCGTGAGGTCAACGCGGGCGCGGCCGAACGCTTCTTGTCAGGCTTTTTTAAATCGTCTTCGACATTTAATATCCAGCTTGTGGACCCTGACACGGGGCACGCCCTATCCACTGAGGGCATGATCGACCTCATTCGCGGCGATCTTTTTGCTAGAGCCCATAATGATTTTCCGCAGAATCTTAGTGATCGGGACGACCTGGCGCAGACTGTGACCGCTATCAGGCAGTCCGGAGCGGGCGCGGGGCTTACGTGCCCGCAGAATCCGTATACCGTCGTAGAGGTTGAAACAGCGCTGTCCCTGCTCAAGCCAGGGAAGCGCACGGTCCACCTTTGTAACGCAGCGTTGCGGGCCAAGGTTGAGGAGGGTTTCTGTTTGACGCGGGCCTTGCTAAACCTCGGCCGCGCGCTGTGCGTCACGGCTCGCCTGTGGTCACTTCGGCACTTTGCTCCCATCCGGAAGTCTGGGCCGGCGTCGGTGAGGAAAGTGTCTGCGCTTCGTCCAATATCCTTCACATCGGACATGGCTTCGGTTCAGGACGCTGCGTGGATCGCGCGGAACGGGGCCAAGATTGAGGCCTATTGCGGACCCGCCCAACAGGGGGGGGTCGGCGATCCGGTCTCCCTTGTGATCGCACTCACAATGCATGCTCAGTTGCGGCATTCACAGAATCTGCCCACATGGTTGGCCGTCGCAGACAACAAGTGGGCTTTTGATGTTGCTTCGGTGAACGGCATGTTGTGCGGTGCTTTCCACGCGGGCGTGCGGGGGGCCGATTGGTTGATGCTGGATGACATTCTGGCACAAGATCACCAGGCCGTGGGCCTCCATAACCTGCTGTCGCCGGTTTTCGCCCTTGGGTGCGGCGCGGCCCAGGGCAGGCGTTTTTCAGTGCACATTTGTAACGCGCAGCTGAAAGCGTTGCCGGATGAAATCGCTGCCGCTGTGCCAGGAGGTTGCGCCACCGTGGTCCCGCCCCTAGCCAGGCGTGCCTTGCAATCTGCATGCGTGGTCTCCCCTCCAACAGACGTGGAGGCGATGCCTGACCGGGCGTTGCCCGTGGTGGCCATTTTGAACGAGGTGGCGCGCGCGGCAGCCGCCGAGCTTCCGCCCTGGCCCAACTCCGAGGAAACACTTGCTGCTTCGCTTCGTTCCCTGCCGGCCGTCGCGGACAGAGCCGCCGTAGTTGAGGCCGCGGGCTCCTGGCACATGCCGCCGGCACAATTTGTCGACGACCTCACGGCCGCGTGCCCATCTGTAGGAGCCGTGAGGGCAGTGATCTCCCCGGAGGAGTCCTCCGCGTGCAGCCGGTGCGCTCGCAGGTTCAAGTCTTTTTTCTCGCGCGAGAAAAACGAAACTTGCGTGCTCCCAGTCCTCGGCGCAAGCCGCCCCAGGCTGGCCGATTGCCCTTCCGTGGAACGCAAAGTCCTGTTGGGCATCTTGGTGGACTCGGACTTGACGTTCGCGCCGCTTCTCAAAGAGATCCTAGCCATTGGCTACAGTTGCTTTTCTAAGCTGCTCTACGCTGCGGAATCCGGTGGCTTTTCCATCCCGGTGGCAGCGGCGCAGGTCCCAGCGCGGGTAGAATCCGTGATTCTTTATGCCTGCCCGCTTTTGGCGGCCACGCCGGGGGCTGAAGCGGCCCTCAATAAGATGCAAGTGAACTGGGGCCGGCGGCTGTTGGGGTGCCACCACGGGCCCCCGATCCGGCACGCGGTAGTTGTCGCCCAATGTGGCTGGCCCATGCGCTTAGGGACGAAATTCTTAGAGAAAGCGCTCATGGCAAGGGCGCGTCTCATGGTCCTCCCGGTGGACCACCCAGGGGCCGTGATGCTGCGGGCGGCCCATTCCTTGGCTACGCCCACGTGGGAGTCTGCTGTTGTTGCCTTAGCCCGGCGCCTTGACCCCTCTCCTGGACCTGGACGGTCACGCTCTCTTCCCTCCAGCGCTGCTCCAAGAGGCACGGACGTGTCCGAATTCTCGCAGGGATGTGCTCAGAACGTACCGCACTGAAGTCCTACGTCCGACACTTTTGAAGTATGACCGCGAAGCTTTCGCGAAAGCGGCCGTGCAGGTCCTGGCACCTTTTCGCCGTTCTTTTGCCGCTCTTTGCTCTTTCCCATCGCCGCTCGATCCAACTCTCCTGGCCAGCGAGCCCGGCCCTGCCTTCTGGATTCAGTTTCGCTTATGGGCAGTGGCGCGGATGACTGGCAGGTGGCCTCTGTCGGTGTTAGGCGGCAGGGAGCACCCCGCCTCCTTGCGACGGTGCAGAGCCTGTGGGCGCCGGAACGCTTCTCTGCGACACGCCCTGGTCTCGTGCCCCTTTTACGCCAGCGACCGCCGGGACTTGTTCCCAGGCGACGTCCCACCCGACCTGATACTCCAGCTGCTGCTCGGGGACCACACCAGCCCCAGCAGCTTCATCGAGCATATTTCTTTTGTCGGGAAGGTCATTCGGCGTTCTGCGCCGCTGTTTTCTTCCTCGTCTTCCTCCTCTTCCTCCTCCTCCTCCTCGTCCTCCTCCGGTTGAGTGTTAGTCTTGCAGCTTTGCCCTTTGAGGCGGGGTTCGCACGTGTACCTCTTAATGTGATGGCCTTCGGGCGCCTCGGCATGCGGACGTTGTCACGCTCGTGGCGCGCAGGCGGCGTCGTCATGATATTGATTGCTATCCTCTTGCGTCCCAGTCGCTGTGTTTTTTGCCCTCCCCTCTTCTTCCTCCTCGTCTCTCGCCTCCTCTGAGCGCTTGCTTCTCGGGTATTTGTATACTTGCCCCTTTTCCCGAGTGTGACTGTGGTTGGGTATGCCCGTCGCCTCCCCGGCCGCTGTGTCGCTTTACCAGGCTGTGCTTGGGGGAGCGGTGCTGTGCCTCGGGGTGTGGAGAGGGGGATGCACTGACGAGCCCTTGACCGCAGCTAGTGTAACCTAGACGCGGCCCGGAACCCTGGCGTGCGGCGCTGCCCGGTTCCCCGGGGAGAGCGGCGGTTTTCGGGCGGCGTCCTCCCGCCGCGCTCGCCTCATTCATGTTGTGCCAGCAGGGGAGGGAAGGGGTGTGTAACACCACCGCCTATCCGTCGTCGGCTGCCGGGCCCAGATCTGCATTCGCCGGGCAGTTCTGAGTCGCAGCGACTGGGGGCCGGGCGCTGGCGCCAGCGGCCGGGCGCCGGCGCGCGCACCCCAGACGCTGTCGAGATGCGAAATGCGAAATGCGAAAATGGTGGTAGTATTAGTAAGGGTAGTATTATTATTAGTAGTAGTAGTCGTCGTCGTCGTTGTCGTCGTCGTCGTCGTCGTCGACGTCGTTTTCGTCGTCGTCGTCGTCGTCTTATTATTATTATTATTATTATTATTATTATTATCAGTAGTAGTAGTAGTAGTAGTAGTAGTAGTAGTAGTAGTAGTAGTAGTAGTAGTAGTAGTAGTAGTAGTAGTAGTAGTAGTAGTAGTAGTAGAGTAGTAGTAGTAGTAGTAGTAGTAGTAGTAGTAGTAGTATTAGTAGTAGTAGTAGTAGTAGTAGTAGTAGTCGTAGTAGTAGTAGTAGTAATAGTAGTAGTAGTAGTAGTAGTAGTCGTAGTACTAGTAGTAGCTGTAGAAGAAGAAGAGGTAGTAGAGGTAGTTGTGGTGGTGGTGCTGGTGGTACGGGAGGGGTAGACTGGAGCCCCCCATCCGCAGGGACGGGGACGGCAGCCTGCCCGTCAGGGAGCGCCCTCTCGTGCCGCTCAGTGTCGTATCGAAAGGAGGCGCAAGTGGGAGGGCGAGATGGAAGGAAGGAGACACGAGTCGGCGGCGAGCAGGAGAAGGAGACGGAGAAGGAGGCGGCCTTCTCAGAAGCCCTCTCGCCTTCTGAGCAGTGTTTTTTGTCCTCGGGGAAGGTTTGGAAGACTTTTCAGCTGGCCAGGGGACTCCCGAGCCTTCTGAAAAAAGGCCCGCCTCTTCCCGCTTCCCTGCGCCCGCCGGAACCGTGCGCCCATACGCTCCTCTTCCTCTTCTCCTGCTCCTCTTGCCTTCTCCTCCTCCTCCTCCTCCTCCTCCTCCTCCCTCTTCCTCCCTCCCGCCTTTACGCCCTCACGCCCCACATGGCCGGGTCGGGTCCGGTCAGGACGGGCCTGGCCGGGCCGGGCCTCGCCCCCCCTCTCCTGTTTCCCTCCCTCTTTCTCCCCACGCAGGTCCTCGCCCGGGCGAGGTGGCTGGAGGGTGTTCGAGGTTGAGTGCCTCTCTCGTCTGATTGGTGTCAGAAGCCAGGGCGCCTTTTCTCCCTTTTTCCAGCGCCTGCGGACCAGGCCTTGACGCATGGGTCGGGTGCTGCCATATGTGTCCCTGGCCGAAGGTGACCCCAGGGCTCTCAAGGAGGCCCCGGATGCGAGGCGGGAAGTCATCCATAATCACCGCCCGAGGGCGGCGAGGGCGGGGGCTCCCGAGGAGGCTCCCGATGCGAGGCGGGGGCTCCCAAGGAGGCCCCCGATGCGAGGCGGGAGTCATCCAGAACCACCGCCCGGACGATCCTCGGAGTGAGGCCCCTCCCCCTGCTTGCAAGGCCGGCCCCCTCGGCCCCTCGGCCCCCTCGGTGCGCGCCGCCGGCAGCACCGGGGGGCGGGGCGGGGCGAGGGGCAGCGCGGGCCGCGCGGGTGGGGACAGGGATCGGCTGGACGCTGCTCCAGGATTCTGGGTGTGCTCGAGGACGTCGACTGGGGCGGAGCGTGCCCGGACTCGACGCGCGCGCGTGGCTTCGGGGGGCAGGCAGTGGAGGGGAGGGCGGTGCCCGCCGCGGCGGGCCTCCGCTCTCCTGCCCTCTCCGCGCCCCTCCCGCGGTCGAGGGGCGCGCCCCGCCCGCGCCTCCCCGCCGCCCTCGGCTCGACGCGCCCCAGGGCAGCCCTGCTTTCCATAGTCCGTGTACTGCAGCGCTATGCGAATCCCGCTGCTGTCGACAGGCGGCCCGTGGCCCCCCCCCGCCGGTCGCGGCGTGCCGCCGGCGCTCCCTCCCCTCCCCTCTCTCGCTCGCGCCCCGGCCCCTCCCCCGCCTCCGCGGCGCCCGCCTCCTCCCTGCTCCGCTTCGTCCTCGTGTCGGGTCCCTCCCCTGCTCGCTGCTCCTCCCCTTCTCCTCGCTTCCTGCCCTCTCCTCTCCTTGGTCTTCCTCTCCCCGTCGCTCCTCTCGTTCCCCTGTCTCGTTCTGTCGCTCTCCAGGGCTCCGCCCCTCCCGCCGTGCCCCCGCTCGGACGCCCCCCCCCGCCCGCGCGGTGTAGCCATGAAGCCAGACTTGTTCTCGGTGCTCTGAGGGGGAGGAGGAGGGGGAGGAGGAGGAGGAGGAGGAGGAGGAGGAGGAGGAGGAGGAGGAGGAGGAAGAAAAAGAGACGGAATAACAATATTACCAATGCTAATGCTGACAATCATCACAATACGAATAATACTTATACTTCTACGAGTTATGAGTTATGCGCAAGCGAGCAAAACAAGCAAGCAGGAGCCAGCGATCAAGTGCAAGCAAGCAAGGGCAAGCAAGAGCAAGCAAGCGAGAGCAAGCAAGCGAGAGCAAACAAGCAAGTGCCATTGGAAAAAGAGGGGGGAGCCATTGGAAACAGGGGGGGTGCCATTGGGAAAAGGGGTGGTGGTGGTGGTCTTAGAAGCCAATGACTTATGATGAGCTAGGACTCCTATAGGGCAAGCCTGTTTGGAACATAATTATATGGCCAACACAACAAACACTAAACACATTAACGTTGCTGATACTATTGCACGTACTAATGCTAATACTCATAAACGTGAACATAATCGTATTGCGATCAAGGGTAATATTCATATTATTACTAATAATATTATCATTACGATTACTAACAATAGTAAGAAGACTATGAGTCATAATGCTATGATGAAACGTCAGATGATTGTTATATACTAATACTGATAGTAAGAAGAGTACCACGAAGACTAATAAGAGTAGTACTAATTTCAATAATAGGCAACATTAATACTACTCCCAATTCTAATCATAACGTGTATTACAAGTAATAATTAGAAGAAGACGAGCAATACTACTAATCCAAATATCAATAACGCTAAACAAAGCAGACGAACAATAATACTTGTAATATTAATACTGATCCCACTGAAGCATCACAGTAGTACTACTAATACTAGTGATACTAATAAGAACTAGAATGCGAAGGAGAGAAAATGAGGATGAGAAGGAGGAGGAGGAGGGAGGAGGGAGGAGAGAGGAGAGAGGAGGGAGGAGGGAGGAGGAGGAGGAGGAGGATGAGGAAGAGGAGGAGGACAAGACACGGCTACCTAAGGTGTTCACGTTTCGGTCGGTTCGATTGCGTCGCAGTCGGTTGCGTCGCAGTCAGTTGCGTTCGGTCGGCTATGGTGTCGATGCCGCGCCGCTGCGCCCTTCTAGTCTGCTGTCGGCCTGTCGACTTCGGTTGGTTCCGGTTTCGGTGTCGGTTAGGTCGGTTTTCGGTTTTGCTGTCGTCGTGCGCGGCCTTGTTTACCAAGCTGCCGAGCTTCCAGGGAGAGAGCTGTGTTGCGAATTGCCCCATGGCGCTGGACAGGGCTGGGCATTTCAGGTGCTGAAGCCTCATCTGCGCAGTCTGTTGGACCCCGCAAGGGGGTCCGATGGATGTTTTTCATACACACATGTCATCTCTATCTGCCTTTCACGATATATTTACACATATTTTCATACACGCAGACAAATGTGTATATACATTCACATATATGTATAGACCTATCTATATTTACACGTGTGTATATACATGCATACATACACACATACGGCCATATGTATATGAATATCTGCCAGGAGGGGAAAGTATACATATACACACATTAGCAACGATTTCCAGGAATATATGGGCAAGTTTCGGAAGTGGAGAGGAATACATAATTTTAGCAAATATGGACAGCTGTTGGGAATCCTGGATTTTGTGCTAATTTATTCGTGTCTCCCTGGGTCCTCTTATTTGCATATGCGCATACGCCGTTGTACAATCGATTTCCCGCCTGTGCCCATTTGTTTTTCCAGACTGAAGTGCGCCCCTAAGTTCTTGCACGATGTCTTTCGTCGAGGACGACCAGTGTGTGTGTGTGTGTGTGCTGATGTTGACGCCCCAGCTACCACAACAACCGCACCCGCCTGAGCCTTCCTTTCGATCTATAGTCACGACTCGCCCTCTCGCACGAGACGTTGCTGCAGCTTGCGCAAGATTCGCGTTTTCGTTCGAGACTTCTTCATGATTTATAGAGGAGTCGCTTCCTCGCTTTTCAGGAGTCGCGCATTCCCTTCGGACTTACGGCCGCTGCCGCCGACCCGGAAGGACGACGACGACGATCACGACGACGACCAGGACGACGACCACGACGACAACGACAACGACGAGCTAATGACCCTGCCACGGGCTCGGGACATGGGGCGGGCGGTGAGGGAGAAGGAGGAGGAGGAGGCGGAGGAGGAGGAGGCGGAGAGGAGGAGGAGGAGGAGGAGGAGGGAGGAGGGAGGAGTGAGGGAGGAGGGAGGAGGGAGGAGGGAGGAGGAGGAAGGAAGGAGGCTCGGCTGGGGTGGCCCATTGGGCGACGAATTGGGCCCCTGCCTCGAGAGTAGCGCAGCCGACAGGGAGGGAGGGAGGGAGGAAGAGAGAGAGGGAAAGAAAGAGAGAGAGAGAGAGAATGAAAGAAGGAGAGAGAGATAGAGAGTGAGCCCTAGAAGGAGGGAGGAGGCTACGCGGCGACCACCCTCGACCCGAACCTGGCCTCCGCCCTGTCTACAGCCAGCGCGATGCCTGGCTGTGTCAGGGGGGTTCGATGCGGTCTGCGACACTAACCTCAAACCTGGAGCCCCGTGCTGCGGAGGATGGAGCGGCGCTACCCAAACCGATACCAAGCCATCCCATCGACTCGGGGCCAAGCCAGCCTCGGCCCAGCCGCAAACTGGGGTACCGGCATGCTGAGCGAGGAGGGGGGGCCTCCCCCCGAGGGAGACTCAGGGGAGGGGTGAAAAACTGAGGATTGGACCTGTCGCCCAGCCCAGCCCACGCCCAAACCCATTCCTGTCCGATCAGGGAAAGTTGAAACAACAGCAGCCCGAGAGCGGCCCCAGGACCCCCACCCCGGGCCCGAGCGCACCAGAAACGGGGCAAACGGCCAGCCAGGGCGACAACGAGGGCCCCCTCCCGACCCTCGATCGTAGTCTCAACCTGCCCTCCCGCGGGCTAAGAGGGAGAGAGGGAGGCCGGCAGGAGGTGAGCGGTCACCTCAGCTCGATCCAACCCTTATCCAGCCTGGTCCCGCACATAGGTCCCCGTCACCCGCGATCAACGGACGGCGGGCGCGGTTAGCTTCGCGCCACCACGGGAACCCGTTGCAAGGACTGGGAGGGAAGGATAGAGGAGGAGAGGGGCGCACCCAAGCCCATCCCAGCCCACCCCAGCCCAACCCAGCCCGCTCGGACTGGGAGGGAGGGGTGAAGGCGGAGGAGGAGGAGGAAGAGGAGGAAGAGGAGGAGGAGGAGAAGGAGGAGGGGGAGGAGGAGGAGGAGGAGGAGGAGGAGGAGGAGGAGGAGCAGGAGCAGGGCAGGGAGAGGAGGAGGAGGAGGAGGGAGGAGGAGGAGGGAGGAGGAGAGGAGGAGGGGAGGCGGAGGAGAGGAGGAGGAGGAGGGAGGAGGAGGAGGAGGAGGAGGAGGAGAGGAGGGGGAGGGGGAGGAGGAGGAGGAGGGGGAGGAGGGGGAGGAGGAGGAGGAGGAGGTAATTGATGTAGTATATGTGCCTCGGCCACGCAAGGACGGCGCGCACGCTCGGTAATCGTATAGTGCAAGCTCCGTGGCAGGCGCGTTCTGGCCATGCCGCTCGGGACACGGCGTGTTATACTACTGTTAAGTCGGGCCTTTCCCTCTACGGGGGGAATCTTCAAACACTGTCAAACCATAGTTTTAGATGGGCGATTTTTTAGTATGTTTGCCGATTTGGGGAGTACTTTTTCGTGGAGTATGCTTTATTTCTGTCCCCAAATCCCCCTGTAGGGGGACACGCCCGGTTATTTTTGGGGTATGGGAGGGGTATTTTTTCGTCCAAAATCCGCCTGTAGGGGGACATGCCCGACCTAATACTACTGTCGTGTTCAATGATCTGGTCGGACGCACGCCTCCAACGAGGACGTGAAGTACGACGTACGTACTGTAGTTTATCCGTCTGCGTCCCACTCATCCCACCTCCCCGCGCCTTCCCCGTTTCCCCACCTGGCGGCGAGCGAGGGGGGGAAGTGGGAAGGAGAAGGCCATCTCAGAAGCCCCCGCGCTTTCTGAGAGGTTTTCTCTGTCTTCGGGGAATGCCAGAAAACTTCTCATAAGGCCAGGGGGCTTCCGAGCCTGCTGAGAAGGCCCGCCCCTTCCCACTTGCCCCAGGCTCGCCGCCGAACAGAGCTCGACCTGAACGGTGTTTTGGCAACCTCAAGGGCCGCTTTCGTTTCCACTCCGTCTGGGAGCAGGGGAGGGACGACGACAGAGCGAGGGAAAACGCAAGCCAACGAAGCTGGAGAGCACCGTTTAGATCGTGCCCTGGAAGGATGACGCAGACCTCTTTGGTCAAATCGGGCATGTCCCTCCACAGGAGGAAAGTCAAAGAATATCCAAAAGATGGTCTGGGGACGATTCGCCACTACTTCTCACCATTTCTATGTTTTTTGACTATTTTTTGTTCTTTTTCCCAAGCCCGCCTGCAGGATGACATGCCCGACCTAACTCTTCGGCCACGCGCAGAGGGGGGGGGGGATAGGGGGAGGGCTCACCGCCGAGCCTGCTGAGACGGCCCGCCCCTTCCCGCTTCCCGGCGCCCGCCGGACCCGTGCGCCCACACCCTCCTCTTCCTCTCCTCCTGCTCATCGTACTCCTCCTCCCTTCTCCTCCTCCCTCTCCCGCCCTCCCGCCCTGCCGCCCTGCCGCCCTCCCGCCCTCCCGCCCTCCCGCCCTCCCGCCCTCCCTCCCTCCCGCTCTCCCTCCCTCCCGCCTCCCGCCTTCCCGCCCCTTCCCACTCCCCCCCCAAGGCTCGCCGCCAGACCTTCCCGCGCGATCCCCGTCCCCACCCCCACGCTGGCCCAGTCCTCCAGGGGCGTCGGGGCGTGGCAGGCGGCCAGGGCCGAGAGCCGTCCTGAAGCACATCGGCCCCCCGCGAAGCTGGGGGCCTCTGGTCCAGGAGGGAACAAAGTCACGCAGACACAGAGAATCATCGATTCCAGGGAAGATGTGGAAAATAATTTTGGGAAATGGGGGGAAACAGAAGACAAGGAAACCGATGGGGTACTCAGGGATTTAAGAATATTTGTTCGTGTGTTCCTTGGGCCCCTTCTTTGCGTGCCCCGCGGTCGTTCAGAGGAACGGCTCGGGATGAAGACCTGGACCTGGAGTCGGCGGCGAGCGAGTGGGGAAGCAAGAAGGAGAAGGTCTTCTCAGAAGGCGGCGGGGCTTCTCAGAAGCCCTCGCGCCTTCTGAGACGTTTTCTGTGCCTTCGGGGAAGGCTCAGAAAACTTCTCAGAAGGCCAGGGGACTTCCGAGCCTGCTGAGAAGACCTTCTCCTTCTCACTTTCCCCCCCAGGTCTCGTGATGATTGGCGGGACTGGACAGGGCAGCTGGCCCAGACAGGCCAGGAACTCTCGTGCCTGCACCAGGAAGCCCGTGGAGGCACGACCTGAGGTTTCTCACGGCGCGTCAGCGCAGAGCAGGGCAGGGCAGCCAGGCAGGCTAGGCAGGGCACTTTTTTGCCTCCTCCTCCTCCTCCGCCTCCTCCTCCTATTCCTCCTCCTCCTCCTCCTCCTCCTCCTCCTCCTCCATCAAGAAGTTTCTTACGGCGCGTCAGTGCGTTGTTTTGCACAGCCAGGCAGGGCAGCTCAATCTGATGCAGTGCGTGGCGCAGGCTGCTCGGTGCAGGACGCATCGAGGCGAGGCATCGCGGGGTAGAGCGAGGCAAGGTTGGCCAAGGCCGGGCCATGCGATGCAAGGCATTGCGTGGCAGGGCAGAGACAGGCAAAGCCTGCCCACCACACTGCGTCCCATCCGTTTACTCCGCCTGGCCGTGGTGGTGCTCCTCGCTCTTTGGCCACCTCGCCCATCTGTGCCCCCCCCGCTGCCGCAGCCTGCACTGTGGCATTGGTGGCTGGGCTCCTCGTTGATGTCGGCGCGGCGGTGAAGTTGCGGCACGAGCGAGGCCGAGCGGGGTGCATAGGTCAGGAGCGAAAGAAGGACGTAATTTCACGTACATGAATCCACATTGGTTTCGAGAGTACGCATTGCGCGAATATTCGTGCCATGCGGCTGGTCTCGCGGATCGAGTGGCCGTGTTCATGTACATGGTTGGGTGCGTACGTCTTTTCTGGGCTCCTTAATAGGGGGAGAAAAAGGGCGCAATGCCGCGCAGCATACCATCGACCCGCTTAGTAAGCACGGGCAGCCTTCCCAAGGGTACCCCTTTCATCCTTGGCCCTTCAGCCCTTCCCCTGGCGACCTTCGCTGGCCAGCCTTATGATGATACGGATGGACTGTAAGATGCACATGAGACGTGGCTTCGCGGTATGAGACAGGTACTGTTTCCATTGACGAGGGAGGAAAAACCACACGAACCGAACAACTGGCGTTTACTAAACGGCCCTGGGCGTTTACTAAACAGCCTTGCCCTGTTTGATTCCTTCTTTGGGTGCGTTTGCTAGACGGCTTCGCGTGTCGGGGTGGTTTTCATCGGGATGGATTTTCTGCCCTCTACATTGACGGGGGGGAGCAGGCAACGATCCTGATGCGGCGAACAGCGGCCGAGCCCCCCACGTGCAGACCCAAATCCTTTCAGAAGGCGGGAGAGCCCCTGACTGCAGGCACTGTTCGGGGATAACTCGCGCGTGGTCTTTGTGCGTCTCGTCGTTGTTCGGTGTCAGTAGGTTTGCCCATGCCTGCCGTCGCATGCCAATCCTGCTGCTCGCGCTACTACTGTCAGTACGAGTGCCACTACCACTACTGTTGCTACCCACCGCATCCGGCACCGCGCCCTGGGCGTGGGGGACAGCGAGGGGGCTTGTGGGGATCCACTGAGTTTTCTACTGTGAGCTCTGCTTGTTGTGGCGTCGTTCTTCGCTTCGAATGGGGAACCCCGCAGGGACTTCGAGCAAGATTTGTGCGAATGTTAGGCTCGACTCGTCGTGGCGCCCTTCAGGATGTATAGCAAGAATCGGAGTATCCGAAGACACAGAGGGCACAGCACATCTTACATATGCGCATAAGCCGTTGCGCAGCGTGGTCGCACAGTTCTCTTACCTGTAGTGCTACGGCTATTCATTCCGTGGTTACTACGTCCACGAATGCGACTACCATTCTCGAGTACGCCCACGGCGAACCACCGC